CCCATCTCAGTAATTGGCTTGACTGAATATCTCCACCCTGTTCACCTTTAATTAGTGGCAGGACAATCAAGTGCCTCTTTTTAAGGAATAACCTCCCCAGTCCATCTAAGTATTTTGACGTGAGGTCCAAAGACCTTTTTAAGAGCGTGGCAGACCCGACAGCTTACCTTCCTCCCACCGACTGTGTACACCTGCCGCACAGGAAAGTGCAGAAGAGCGGAGGCTTTGCTGAGAAAGGCCGTCAGGCTCCTGGTGTTTCTGTGGCTGAGAACCACTGTCTGCTGGCATCGAGGGTCACTGTTCTTAACCAGCACCACCCTCCTTGGGGCTTTAGGACCCCTCCAGGAAGAGGACGTTCCCGGCACCTCGCGCCGACCTTCGAGATCCTGCAACTGCAGAGTAGAGGGCCTTCTTCCTTGAGGCTGGCCTGGCGCACTGGGGGTCTTTGGGGGCTTCTTATCGGAGCAGAGGTAGCAGCCACCGTCTTCGAGCTGCTCCAGGGTGCTGAGGCCGTGCAGGCCCCGGGGCGTGGTGACCGAGCGCACCCCAAAGGAGAGAGGCACCCGCTGAGAAAGCTCGTCCATCAGCGCGCTGAAGGTCCTGAAGGCGCGGCGGTGAACGGCCAGGCGGGCCCCGGCGAACCGCGGGTCCCCTCGCTTCAGGAAGGTGATCTTCTTGGCTGGTGTGACCTGGGTGACAGATGGGGTGTGGGCCACTGAAGGCAGGAGGCGCTTGCGGTGGCTCGGGGCCTGGGCACCCCTGCTGGCACGGCTCATGGCGTGGAGGCCCAGGAAGCTGTAACAGAGTGAAGGAAGGGCGGGGTCAGACAGCTGCTCGCAGGCCGCGCACCCCCTGCCGCTCCCCCTCTTTAGAGAGGAGCCTCCTGCCCACCGCAGATTTGGCCTGCTCAGCTATGTAGATGCAGCTTAATCCACTGGGATGGGGTGGAAGAAGGGTCAAAGGTTTGGCATCAGACAGATCTGAGTTCAAATCCTACCCCCACCACTTACTACTCGCATGTACCTGGAGATGAATGGCATAATCTGGGTTTTGGTGGCCTCCACCTGCAAAATGCAGTGGCAGCCACTCTGCGTGGTGGTTATAATAACAGAGTGGTTTATGCACATGAACTGTCTGGCATGGAACAAGTCTCAACAGATCCTTAGCCCTTTCCTTCCTCGTGCTGTTTCTCGTACCCTCTTCTACTAACCTTGAGCTCCTTTGAATGCTTTAATAGTTTATCTACTAAAGAGGTGGCTCGGCCAGGAGACATACAAACACAGAGGTAAGAATGCTGGACGAGGAGACCTGGGCAGCGTGCCCCTCTCCTGAGGTTTCCCTGTGCCACCCTGGGGTTCCCACCTCTGGCCCCACCCCACTTGCCATCCAGGGAGAGAGAGAGCTGGAGAAGGAGGCTTGGTCCACACCCTCGGGGACAGGGGTGCAGACGAGAGGGCTTGGAGCTCTGCATCTGCAACCCAGAGAGGANGAGCTCATGTATTGGGCACAGCAGAGGTGGCCTCCTGAACCCAATTCTGGATGCTAGCTACTCAGCAGTGTTCTTGAATGCTGTCATCACAGCAGCTTCCAGCAGAGGCAGGACCTTCCTGCCGCATGCTGGGGGTCTTCCTGCAGACCCAGCTTCGAGTTCACTGTCCAGCTTTGCAGAGATTGGAAGCCCCCCGATGCCCTATATTAAAGCACTTTCTGCTTAAGATACCTTAGGTGGTTTCTGTTTCCTACCCTGAACTCTCAGTGAGGTAGGTTGTTGAGAGGACTGGATAAGAAGGTCTCAAGTGTGCAAGGCACAGAGCCTGGCACTCACTAAGTGCACACTAAATGGCAGCCAAAAAGGTGACTAACAATCACCCATCTCAGTAATTGGCTTGACTGAATATCTCCACCCTGTTCACCTTTAATTAGTGGCAG